CCAATTTTTTTTTTTTTTTTTTTTTTTTTTTTTTTACAATAGTCCTTACAACTGGATTCATTAATTTTGAACTGGAGGGCAGCCACCTGCAGATCTCAGTCAATGGTACATGTCAAGCAATTCTGCTTTTTCTTGTAATGTCATGACTTTTTTCTGCTTCTTGGGAGCACTTCCAGCATCACTATTTACACTTTGTTATGGGTCCCATGATGTTATTCAGGGTTTACGGTATTGCGCTAAACGCGATGAAAATGACATGAGAACCACCGCAAGGGGTCACTTTCTACTGTGATGTGCAGTTTACTGGAGAAACAGCCTGCTCACTCAGAGATGATTAGCCTTCCATGGCATTTTAAGCAGATACTCGCAACACTTGAGCTCACTGCAGTAGCAACAGGAGGTGGCTGTTAGATGATTATAGTAGTACAATATGTACTACAGTTAATTTTATGCAGTTATGGTATAATACTGCATCTTTATGTTTGTTTACATTTCTCTTGACTGCGAATGGTACCACATACAGTCTTTTAAGTGTGTGATAAATAAGTTTTGATGTTTAAACTTTTATAATAGATTTTATAATAGATTTATGTATATTTTACGGTGGTAAAAGATAAAATAGACTAGTACTACATATATTTTATGCATCCATGACACACCTAACTTTTTCATAATTTTTCAATATTTCTAGGCTACGTGGTTCATTGAGTTTTTTTAAATAGTCACAAATCTCCAAAAATTTTTCCAGTATATTTACTGAAAAAAATCTACAAGTGGACCTGCGCAGTTTAAACATGTGTTGTTCAAGGGCCAGCTATATTTAAAACATTTGTTTGTGTCTTATATAAGTTTTCTTTGTTTATGTATTTAGTATGTAATGCTAACACAGTTACATTACTTAATGTAAATTTAATTATTTAATGTGTTTGTGTTCCTATTTGTGTTTATTTTCACTTACATAGAATACCACTAGTAGCACACATTATAAATACATGCATATCTGTTTACATTTATATTACTTATTACTGTTTGTATACTTGCTGGTATTTATACACCTTTTATCTTCCTGCTGTTCAGGGTTATTTGGGGTAGTTACTTGGTCGGGGCTCATAGGCTGATCCCAGGCTGCCTCCTGTATCCCACCAGCTCTGCAGGCCTATTCACCAGCCCAGTGGGAGGGTTGTGTGGGTGGAGTGGCAGTGGTTCCGCCTAGGTACCAACCCGTCCTGGCCCACCCGCAGCCCCACAGGAGACAGGATCCGAAGCAAAGTTGAGCTGACCCGATACCTGGGCCCTGCGTGCGATCTCACCCTCTTTGACTTCAAACAAGGCATCCTGTGCTATCCAGCCCCCAAGGTACTGTACAGTGTGGGATACCCAGGCAGGAGTGGCTGAGCCACCTAACACCCACCCGCTGACTTACGTCTTCCTGCCCTTGCTCTTATCTCCAGGCCCATTCCTTGGCCATCCCCAGCAGGAAGCGGAAGAAGCCTTCGAAGCCAGCCAAGGCTCAGAAACGTCAGGTTGGACCTTCAAAGAGCGAAGTCAGGAAGGAGGCCCCAAGGGATGAGACCAAGGCTGATGCTGACACAGTCCCAGCCTCACTTCCTGCGCCTGGGTGAGTGTCGGCCTCAAGTGAGCCAGGTCCATGAGGGCTGTGGTTGGGGGGTGCACTCGGCCCCACGCCCATGTTTCCTGTCCCAGGTGCTGTGAGAACTGTGGAATCAGCTTTTCAGGGGATGGAACCCGACGGCAGCGGCTCAAGACTCTGTGCAAGGACTGCCGAGGTGAGTGGCCCCTGGGGCACTGGGAGATAGAGCCGGAGCAGGCTTGGCGTCAGGCTAGGACACAGGTGTCTGGCTGGAGATTGAATGGTAGATGTCAGGATGGAGGCAGTCATGAGGTCAGGTATCTGATGCTCCCTTTACATTTCTCTTCTACTCTCTCCCTCCCTGCAGCACAGAGAATTGCTTTCAACCGGGAGCAGAGGATGTTTAAGGTAAGCACGACCTGCTTCCTCCTCACAAGTGTGCGGTGGGAGCAGGATGTGATAGGGGCTGGTGAGAGTCCGAAGGAACAGTGATGGATCCACAGGGTATCAGAGTCATTTTGTAGGGAGCTAGCTACAGTCAGCCGACAGTAATGGGAGTTAATCAGTAGACACAGTGACGAGGTTCACAGGGGAACAGTAGACATCGTTTTGGCTTCAATGATGGTGGCTAATCAGTAGTCATCAGACAGTGAGTGATGAGACAAATGGGGGACGAGCAGACATGATGATGGGGGCCAGTGTGGGGTCAGTAGACACACGAGGGGCAGTGCTCCTGGAGCCACTCTGCCTGGACCTGTGACCTTGCCCCGCCCATTCCTGGCAGCGTGTGGGCTGCGGGGAGTGTGCGGCCTGCCAGGTAACAGAAGACTGTGGGGCCTGCTCCACCTGCCTTCTGCAGTTGCCCCATGATGTGGCCTCGGGGCTGTTCTGCAAGTGTGAGCGAAGACGGTGCCTCCGGATTGTGGAAAGGGTGAGTCGGGCAGGTGGGGTGGGCCCGAGGCTCACCTGCACTCCTGACCCTCATAACCCTGGCCCCACGCGTCACACCTCCGGCCCCCCACAGAGCCGAGGGTGTGGAGTGTGCCGGGGCTGTCAGACCCGAGAGGACTGTGGCCGTTGTCGAGTCTGCCTTCGCCCTCCCCGCCCTGGTCTCAGGCGCCAGTGGAGGTGCGTCCAGCGGCGTTGCCTGCGGGTGAGTCAGGCTGGAGGGGCCGGCGCTGGTGGGCCGCGGCAGAGCTCATTGTACTGTTACAGCTGCCGCTGCTTCCTCCCAACCTGGCCTTGCCCACCTCATGTCTTCTTTTCTCCCCCGTCCCGTGCTCACCTCCTCGGCCCCGCCTGCCCCTGTCTGCCAGCACCTTGCACACCGCCTCCGCCGCCGCCACCATCAGCGATGTCAACGACGCCCTCCCTTAGCTGTGGCTCCCCCTGCTGTGAGTGCTCTGACCCGCCCTCTGCCTCCCTGTCCCACATGCATGCTTTCTGCACACCTTGGGGGAAGTAGGTGGTCCCGTGTCTGCCTGGTGCCACCAAGCCTAAACTGTCCTTCTGGCTTTCTCTCAGGGTAAACACGGCCGCCGCAGGGGAGGCTGCGACTCCAAGGTGGCTCCCCGGCGGCGCCCCCCCCGAACCCAGCCACTGCCTGCACTTCCGCCCTCGCAGCCTCCAGAGTCTCCAGAGCTGGTGAGGCCCTGGTGGGCAGGGGGAAGGCACAACCGTAACCTCACCCACTACCTGCCCTGACCCCACCCCATTTGCCTCTGCAGCACCCCAGAGCCCTGGCCCCCTCGCCACCTGCTGAATTCATCTATTACTGTGTAGACGAGGACGAGCTAGTGAGTGGCCTCACCCTACCTGGACAAGCCTAGACTCTCCCAGGGCACTTGGTTAACCCCAAAGAAGCAGATGCTGCCATGGGCCTAATAAGGGAATAGTAAGGCACAGTGATGGGTGCTAGTGTGGGATGAGCAGACAGTGGGGTAGGCGCTAATATGGGATCAACAGGTGCATTGACAGTACCTAATGTCGGATGAACCAACACTCTAGTGGGACTAATAGAGGAACAGCTGGCATGGTGACTGAAGTTCATGCAGGATGAGCAGATGTTGCACGTGCAGTGATGGGAGCTAAAAGAGTGTCAGCAAAATCCTGCTGGAGATGGGGGTCAAAGACATTGTCTTGGTAGCTAGTGGGGGACTAGCAGATAGAATGATGGATACCGTGCTGGAGCAGCCACAGTCCTCGTGGTATCAAGGGCCATCCGGTACAGTGATACTGCCTGGTGCTCGACTAGCAGACACTGAGGTGTGACTAGTGGGGAGTCAGGCTAAGACCAGTGTCCAGCCAGTTCCCTCCAGTGGGGCTAGTGGAGGAGTACCAGGAGCAGCATTGTAACTGTCCTCGTGACAGCGTCCCCTGTCCCTCTGCTCCCCAGCAGCCTTACACGAACCGTCGGCAGAACCGCAAGTGTGGGGCCTGTGCGGCCTGCCTGCGGCGGATGGACTGTGGCCACTGCGACTTCTGCTGTGATAAGCCCAAATTCGGGGGCAGCAACCAGAAGCGCCAGAAGTGTCGTTGGCGCCAGTGCCTGCAGTTTGCTATGGTGGGTGCAGCAAGATGGTTCAGGTGGGTGGGACGAACAGTGCCAGGACCCCCGGTGCCTGAGAGGGATGGGCCGGCCTGGTAGGTGGGTGGGGACCGGCCAGATGGGTCCTGCAGCTCCGGAGCGGTGGGTGGGGCAAGGGGTTCTGCCACCAATTAGCAGACGTTGTGCTGAGATAAATGAAGAATCTGGGTGGCGCTGGCATTGCCAACAGGAGACTAGCAGGCTCGGTGACGAGGGGCTCATACCTGAGGAGACTCTGTGCTGGGATTAATGGGGGTGGGGGAAGTGGAGTCATAGGCACATTGATCGGGGCAGGGTAGTGTGGTTGGCCATTGTACCCAGCGGCCATAACACCCCATCTCTCCTCACAGAAGCGGCTGCTGCCAAGTGTCTGGGCAGGGTCCGAGGATGGCACCAGGCCACCCACACCTTACCCGCGTCGAAAGAGGCCTGGCTCTGCTCGAAGGCCCCGTCTGGGTCAGACCCCGAAGCCTCCCTTGGCCACGCCCATGGCCCAGCCAGACCGTGCCCAGACTCCAGTGAAGCAGGAAGCAGGCAGTGGCTTTGTGCTGCCCCCGCCTGGCACTGACCTCGTGTTCTTACGGGAGGGTGCAAGCAGTCCCGTGCAGGTGCCTGGCCCAGCTCCAGCCTCCACAACAGCTCTGTTACAGGTGAGGGTCCCACCTTATCCTGCCCTTCCCAACCCCACCCAGCCTCGTGTGGGGAAGCTGGGACCAAGTCTGCTGCCATCCTCCTTCACGCAGGAGGCCCAGTGCCCTGGCCTGAGTTGGGTCGTGGCCTTACCCCAGGTGAAGCAAGAGAAGGCGGATGCCCAGGAAGACTGGACACCGGGCACAGCCATCCTGACTTCTCCTGTATTGCTGCCTGGCTGCCCCAGCAAGGTGGGGGTCAGTGATGGGTGTTCTGTGAGCAGAGTGATGGTGAGCCATGATGGTGGTTCTTTGAGCAATGTAATAGTGTGCTGATGACAGCCTCTCACAGAATCATCCCGCCTGTCTGACAGATGCCCCACCCTCCCCAGGCAACTAGTTTTGCCTGCTTTGCTGCCCAGCTAACAGAAGAATGGAAATCTGTGAGGAATGGGAAAGGTTTATAGGCAGAGAGATGGTTTTTCTGTGCTCATGTGTGACAGAAGTGGGATTGTCAGCACAGTGACAGGTTGGCTGATAGAGACACTTTCCTCAGGCCAGCCCTACCCTTCTGACAACTGCCCGTTTTCCACCTCCCCCAGGCAGTAGACCCAGGCCTGCCACCTGTGAAGCAAGAGCCACCTGACCCTGAGGAAGACAAGGAGGAGGCGAACAAGGATGACCCCACCGCTGACTTGGCCCCAGAGGAAGAGGCAGGAGGGGCTGGCACGCCCGTGGTCAGTGCTGGGGGCACCTCACTCTCCTCACCCTGCTTTAGCCCCACCAGCCATGTTGACCCTGGTGTTAATTCTTCCCCAGATCACGGAGATTTTCAGCCTGGGTGGAACCCGCCTCCGGGACACAGCAGTCTGGTTGCCAAGGTGTGCCCTCCACAGGGTGGGGTGGGGATGGGATGGGGTGGGGTGCCGGTCAGATGTGGGCCCTGAGTCTTGAAAGTACACTCAGCGTTTTGGCATGGTGTTGTGGGAGGTAAAGGCCCCACACCACTGCTCTGGTCACAGTCAGTGATGGGGTTTGTACGGGACCTTAGAGATTTCTCCTGAGGTCCAGGCCAGGGCTGTTCTTGAGGAGGGTTACGGCAGGTGATGTGGGGAGAGGATTTGGTGACCTGTGATGAGATTTGAAAGAAAAAGGAAAGGAAAGCCTTGTCCCCATATCCCTAAGAAAATCCACAGAGGTCAGGCTTAATATATAAATTCTTATTCAGAGAATTATCATCCAGGGTCTTGAAGGCCTGTGGAGTCTCCAAAAGATGAATGGGTGGGCTGGGCAATGGTGGGTGGGCAGGAGACCTGGGTCCTAAGATGGCTTTGTGATCTGGGTCCACATACAACTGGAGTATCCTCTGTGGAAGGGGTTAGGCTGTGTTTCTTCAGCCTTTCCAGAGCCTGTTGAGGTCATTTACTGTTTTAACTGCTGCACAGGACTGTCCCCGCAGGCGTGGCAGTAGAAGGCAGGATAGGTGCCTGTAAGGACTGGGACGGTGGGAGGACAGGGGGATGCTGCCTCCTGCAGAACTGCTGACAGCCCTGAACAGAGCCCCAGACACAGGCAACATAAACCTGTTGGCCTAAACTCCTGGATTCCTTTGTTCCTGCAAACTAGTGTCTGCAGGCCAGAGACTTCTCCACCTGCACCTGGGCAAGTACTGAGGTACTGATTGCGGCCCTTCTGGGTACACTGCAGTGTGGCAGATACAGCGGTGAATCAATGACCCTGGAAGGCTTATCCTTCAGGAGACACAGGATTATAAGCTTCAGGGAGCTTATAATCCAACTGGGGAGACTTATTTCCCCTATGCATGAAGTCATTACATATTACCGGAGAAGGTAATGATGTGCTTGATGTGCTACATTGTCTGTAATGGAAGATTTTAGAAGAGAGAAGGGAAAATTAAGGGGAAATGGAAGAGTAGGGAATGGTTTGTGATGCTCCATTTTGCACATAGGGAACCTCATTCAACATACAGACCTGCTCCCTCTTCTCTAGGTCCAAGGACCTTAAAAAACCTGGAGCTAGAAAGCAGTAGACTGGAGGCTTCTGCAGACTGTAGGACTCAAGGTGATATTTACAGACCGACTTTATGAGAGACAACACTGATCTGCTCAGAGGCTGGACCATAGATGGATTGCCAGGGCTTGTGTGGGAGTCAGTAGGAACTGGGAAAACCTACCACCAAACCAGAGGAGCAGGCCTGTTCAGTACTTTGAGCTTATAGAGGAAGTAAGCAGAAAAGGAAGGAAAAGAGTAGAAAGTTGGTGCACCTGCTCCAACCGGTGCAAATCCCAAGAGCCTGAGAAGTGTGGATATTAAGGATGGGGGAGTTGGGATGGGAGAGCGGATGTAATTAAAGCCACCTTCAGCCTAAACAAGCCATCATCATAAATAATTTTAAATACATTTGGATGAGACCTGGCCGTGACTCTAAACATTTCCTCAGGGAGACAGCAGTTGGGAATGTAATGTGAATAAATGAGGAAAGGAACTGCTATTTGGTGAGTTCCTCCCACAGACCTAGTTTAGTCCTCAGAAACATCTTTCTAGAAAGGCATTGGTTTTGCCCATTTTTGCAGACAGGAAAACTGAGATGCAGAGAAACTACATAACTTGTCCAGTGTCGAACAGCTAATATTGGTAGAGCCTAGAATCAGACCCAGGTTGTAAAAGCCTTGTCCTAAGTTAAGCCACTAAACTGTTAACTATAACCTATATCCAATAGTGTGTAATAATGTTATATTAACGCAAGTTTCCAGTGACCTTGAAAACAAGGTGGATTACTCTAAGCTTTATAACAAATCCCTTAACACTGCTGCCCTTAGGGTGGTTTAGGGAGTACCAAGGCATTGTGGATGGTGCCACCTTATCAGAGCACCCGCGACTCCTGAGACTGGGTTCTTCCCAGGCCTCAGGTGCTGCATAGGATCCCTCAAACCCAAAAGGGCATCATTTCCCATTGGCGCTGCTTGTTACCGTCACTCCCCGTCCTCATCCAAAGCAGTCTTCAGAAGTAAAGCTCCTGGCCTGGCTCATCATTCCTCACAACTCAAATCCCCTGTCCCTTGGTGACCTTTGTGCTTGGTTTCCGCTCAGCCCCTATCTGCTAGGAGTCTGAGTTCCTGCTTCAAGTCCTGTCTAAGGGCCAGTCTTAGCTCAGCCCTCCCTCACTTTCCAATTCTGCATAAAGTGCCAAGAAGATTAGACCTGTGATTCATTACTTAGTTAGCTTTACAGTGCCAGGACTGAGTGCATGCCTCCCTCCTTAAATTTTGTAGCCTGTGTGCTTCGCTTGCCTTACTCTAGTCCCAGCCCTGCAGCTTTAGATAATTCAGATGTAGATTAAACTTTTCTCTGGTTTAACTCATTATATAGCCCTCTGTCACCCTCCTCTGCTCCTTCCGTTGCCTCACCCTGCCTACTTCAGCCAGAGGCAAGACTGGATAATTTTATTGATACTGTTTTGCTCCCCCGCAAGGATCCAACCACTCAACCCTAGTATTCTAGTGGTATTTTGACAGTGATGTCCTAAGTGAGATTTATTTGAATAGCATTCTGATTCATGAGATAAGAGTTTGGTTATTGTGTGTATGAGGATACAGTCAGAAAAGCAGCACCACTAATGTAAAGATTTTATGTGTATATGTACATATAAATATGTATATTATATTAAAAGATCTATTGTAGGGATTTGACCTTATGCAGTTGTGGGAGCTGATTGAACAGTCTCTCTAAGGCTGTTGTTTTTACATCTAATGCTGGAGCTTGAAGTCTGCAGGGCAGGCAATCGGGAAGGGAAGATGGATGTAAAGAGTGGGAGACCGAGGAGACACTGGCGCCCACGAGCACGAGCTGCAAACCACGCGGATGGCCCGGAACCCATGTCAGCCTCTCACCACCTCCAACTTCGATGATGTGGGTTTCCTGCAGAAGAAGCTGGTGCCCTTCATCACAGACTTAAATATGCATCTGGGCCAGGAATTAGAGAAGCCGAAGGAAGATCCTGGGGAAGGTGGAGCAGCTGCAGGCCTGGCTGCAGGCCTGACTGCTGCCCCATACCAACGAGGTGAGCCAGCAGATAAATGACATGTGTGAACTGCAACAGTGCCTGGTGCCCCTGCACCAACCTTCCGAGTGTGCTGCTGCTTCACTTCTGCCCTCCAGATATCACGCAAAATGTCTCTTGTGGCCCATCCTAACCGGAAGCGTACGGGGAAGGGAGTACTGGGAAACGTAGCCTAGTCAAGGTGACATGTTACAAAGCCACCCTGCCATGAATCAGCTCCCAAGGGTCTCACTACTCACCTGAGGATAAAGGATAACTTGATAAAGCTGCGTTGCTGAAAATGCAAAGCTGAAGACCATGGATTTCATGGTGACCCCAGCAAGTACAGAAATTCTGTCAAGCCCACCCAGAAAAAACTTGCTGGTCTCGGCTATTTTTGTGTCATTCAAGTATTGAGAACCTGGCCCATGGTAGTCATTGTACTTAATACTGGGATTCAGGAATGAAAAAGATATAGTCCATGCAGTTTTATTAAATACATCAATATGTATTTACAAATGGTGAATGGATTTCCAACTTTATCGTGGAATTTAATGGTGAAAACACAGAATTCAGGAAACTGTTGGGAGGACAGCCCTTGCGTGAACCTTGTTGGGGCACAATAGGCATTGGAAATAATATAAATAGTTTCTATCTCTATGCTGTTCTATTTTAAAATTATTTTTAAATGATTTTTATTGTCCCGTTTACTGATTTATACACTTAGTGTTTGTTTTGGAGAGTCTTGATGGTGCTTAAGTGTTGATTGACTGCCTCTGAGAAAGTGGTATAGTGGGTGGCAAGAGCAAGGTCAGGTTCTGTCCGTGGACCTTGGGTGAATCACTTCTCTTAGGCCTCCCAGGAGGTTGAGACTTGGTTGGAAGCCTCGTCTCACCGGGCTTGGCGCCTGGCCCGGCCCCTCCAGCCACTGAATAGGCCCGCCAGGGGGCTCCGGCGCCCGGACCGCGGTCCTCCCACCAGGGCTCGGGAGACGCTGACCCTCACCTGCCTGCCTGGGCGGCCCTGGGGCGTGGGCGTGGCCTCCGCTGGGTCCAGGCTTCTGTTCCCAAGCTGAGCCGGCACGGTGGGAAGCCGAATCCCCTCTTCACAAAGTGGCTCAACAGGTAAAACCGAAGCGGAATTAAATTACAGGACACGCCCAGGGTGAGGGCGCAGCAGGACGAGCTCAGGACCAACGCTGGGATGTGCAGGGCAGCCGGGTATTGCCAAGGGTCCGCTTCCCCTGTCTGTTGCTGAAAACTCCAGGCTGTAGACCTCGGAGGTTACCGACGGGCGCCCAAGGATCTCAGTGGCTTTTACCAAAACCCGCTCCTAGGCCGAGGGCGTTTTCGTCGCTTCTCTTGCCCAAGGGTGTGGTGTCAGGGTGCTTCCACCCAGACCAGCCGGCGGGCCAGGCACCCGTGGGAATCGAAGATCAAGGAACTGGCCCTCAGGACCGTGTCCAGGGAACGGAGACAACCATCTAATTTCTTTCTTTTTTGTTTGTTTCAGGCTACGTAAACTCTTAGCAGTAAATGAAAATGAGTATTTTTCCGAACTGCAGTTGAAGGAAGAAGCTTTATAGGACATAAAAGACAAAATGAGAGAATTATTAAAAGAAATTTTGAAAGAGAAGAGAGACACTGTTTTGTGGCTGAAAGCCTGAACCAGCAATTCAGGAAATGGAGTCCAAACCTAGAAACATTACTGCCTACAAAATCCGAAGTGGGCGCATTACAAATGATTAAGCAATGCTAATTTACCGTAAATTGCGGTCTTAAGATGGGATGCACAGTACTATTTGTACTTTGATTATTACACGTCAGTGACCGACTAGGTGCTGATTTTTTTGTGTTGTAGTGATGGTTCTATGTTCACCCCCACTATAGAAAGAGTACCAAAGTGTTATTCGGCTTTTAGGTATTAACTACCACCTTGCTCTTGACCGGAAGTACAGCTGTGGTCTCCACCTGTGCTGAGCGCCCCTTCTAGGTTTCCTGACCTGTGTTGTTTTCCTGCCTGGGATCCGGAATCTCAGAGCCCGATCACCTGCAATTCTAATCCACATCCTACCCCTGGCCCTAGTTTTTATTGTGCCCAGCCAGGTCGTGTCACTGCCGTACCAGCCCATCTGATTGCCCCCCATCCTAGGTTACCTCAAGTCTAAGCCCCGGTTTCCTGATTTTATTAACAAATTTGTCATTACTGGTTGAGTTGGCTGACAAAACAGGCTCTCTCAGCTTTAAATGTTTAGCTGTAAAATGAGGATAATACCCGCTGTTCCATCAATCTTGTAAGATATTTGTGAGGCTCAGAGGTTTTATGTGTGAAAATACCTTGTAAATTCCTGTAAAGAACTACGAGAATAAGGTTGTCTTGTGATGATTTATGTCATGAAGATTAACTTAGAGATGGCCTAAAATTTTAGCCTACCAACAAAATGCCCACTAACCTTTCTCATGCTTTTAGACCGATTACAAGATATAAATAGAAAAGTCAGTTGGAATGTAGTTAGATCTTCGACTAAACTTCGGGTTAAGGAGGCTCTTTTTCTGCTATTTGATGAACCCTGGAAGAAGGGAGTGAGGTCGGCGGGAGGCCTGGCGGAGGGCGGGGAGGACTGCGCAGACTCAGCTTTTCCACTCCCAGAGGAAGTCGTGAGTGCTAGCGTCTATGGGCACCATGGTGACGGGACCAACTTCCGCCCCATTCACCTGCCCCGATCCCCGCGAGGCGCACCATGGCAACCGGACCTCTGCGTTGCGGAATCTGGTCCCTCAGGTCGCTGTGGTTGGGGAACCGCGGCGGGCGCCGCCCCCAACCCGAGGGGACTCGAAAATGTACAGCCAGCGATTTGGCATCGTACAGCGGGAGGTTAAGGGCCCCACTCCCAAAGTGGTGATCGTGGTAAGCACGGGATGTGTGTGCGGGACCCTACCGCTTTCTGCATCTCCCCCAACTCAGCGCAGCCCACCCTGGCCCCCAGCAGGAGCTCTCTCGAGGGAAGCAGGTGCTTGATGCAGCAGCTTGAATTTTGAAAGAGGGAAGGATAAGGTCTCTTGCCTAGCTCTCGTACTCCGTCCCTCCCTACCCCCCAGCACCCCGCGTCATATAATATTTACTTTCTGTATTTGGAGAAACACCACTTTAGCTCTTGAGAGGTTTCAGTCTTCCAAGACTGCTGAAAGAGGTTGTCCCCTTGCAATGCGGAGTGTGTGTCAAGGAAACGGTGCTGGGTCAGGCGGCAGGAAATCTGGGCTCTGGGCTGGTGGCAGTGATGCAGCTGTACGGTCTTGGGCTAGTTCTACACGCCTAGGAAAATCGTCTGTTGAAGGAGTATTGGGCTGTGAGGGGTTGTGAGTGGTTATAGAGCCCTTTCTCTGCTGACTCAACCATAACCAGAAACAACTTGCTCATGCACAAAACCATCAAAGGTTAACGCAGTAGATAACGATGTGCTATACTGTCTGTGTTGGAACATTGTGGAAGAAATATCAGGGATAATGAAGGGTGCAGTTTTATTATGCTCCATAGAGTGCATAGCAGTTCTCAATGCTCCCTCTTTTTTAGGTCCAGGGACTGTAGGATCTGGGTTTGGAAATCAGTAGAGTGGAGTCTTTTACAGTCTGTACGGTTCAAGGTGATCATTGTAGACAGACTTTATGAGGGACAGAAATTGATGTACTTTGGGTTCTGTATGCGAACACTGAGCTCAGGGGCTGGGCCATTGGTCAGGTGATATTACTTGTGTTGGGAACCAATAAGGATTTCTGTTCCACCAAATTACCACCAAACCGGAGAAGCAGGCCTATTGAATACTTTAAGTTTATAGAAGAATAAAGAGGAAAAGGAAGAGGTCAGAGCTGATGTATCTCAGATGTCAGAGTGTGTTAAGAAGTGTGGATGTTAGAGGTTGCAGAGTTGTGGTGGGAGAAGAATTAAAGCCACCAGAGATGAGACTTGGATGCTAAACAATTCCTCCAGGAGAAGTTGGTGAAAGATGAAATGTCTGAAGTAATGGAGAAGCAAAAGGAGCAGCTATTTGGTGAGTGCCTCCTAGGAACCCAGTTATTTACTTCTTGAAATAATTTTTTAGGAGGACATTTATTTTGCTCATTTTAACAGGTGAGAAAACTGAGACTTAAAAAGATTAAGTAACTTGCTCAAGATCACACAATTAGTAATCAGTAGAGGCCAGGATCAAACCTAGGCTGTAAGACATCATTCTTTAAGACGTTAAACTGTAAACTGTAATAGTAGAAACTAATTTGAGATATTGCAGTAACAGAAGCCTTCAGTGACCTTGAAAGTACAGAGTAGTTATTAAACCCTTTGTTCTGAATTTAGCATGGTTTAAGAGTTGCAGTGTCCATTATGGTGGCCACTAGCCACAAATGGCTTTTGAGCACTTGAACTATGCGTAGAGTCACATGTTGAAATGATAATATTTTGGATATATTGGTTAAATAAAAATATATTATTAAAATTAATTTCCCCTGTTTCTTTTTACTTTTTAAAATATAGCTACTAGAAAATGTTATTAAATTACATATCTGGTTTATATTATATTTCTGTTAAACAGGACAGGTTTTGATTACATAATGCTAAGACTCTGCATGGATTGGCACCACCTCGTTGTTAGAGAACTCCAGATCATACCTGTTCATCCAGAGATAAGGTCCTTCCTGATCACAAAGTCCTACACAGGATGCCCAAGCCTTAAAGGGCTTCCTAATCCCCAGCTACTGCTCAGGCTGTTTCTCACCACCCTCCACCCCCATCCCCCTCTTCAGTCAAAATGTACCTCAGAACCTGGTTCTTGCCCTGACAATTTGACAATTGATTCCTTATGACCTTGGTGCTTGGTTCCTGTTCTCAGCCCATCTGTCTACTGGGAGCGTGAGTTCCTATGTATATCCTGCCCAGGGTGCAGCGTTGACCCAGCTCTGCTTTGTTGTCACTGAATCCACATTCATAAAATGTTTTATGTATTAGAGAACAGTAGTTTTTTAACTAAATCTAGGCTCTAAATAATTTGGATATGAATTAGCTACTTCCCATGATGTAACCCTCAACATCATCTTTTGTCTCCAACCTACCTCAGCTTTGTATTATCTTGTTCAACTAATCTAGGTGTGTGTGTGTATATATATATATACCCTGAGCCCTGAATCTCTTCATGAAGCTATCTTCAAATGTTGATTTTCTTTCCCCAGATTGACTCTGCCACATGAGTTAAAAGTTTTGTTACTGGGCTTCCCTGGTGGCGCAGTGGTTGAGAGTCTGCCTGCCGATGCAGGGGACACGGGTTTGTGCCCCGGTTTGGGAAGATCCCACATGCCACGGAGCGGCTAGGCCCGTGAGCCATGGCCACTGAGCCTGCGTGTCTGGAGCCTGTGCTCCGCAATGGGAGAGGCCACAACAGTGAGAGGCCCGTGTACCACAAAAAAAAAAGTTTTGTTACTGTGAATCAGCACACCAGAGTCTCACTACTCACCTAAGGATGATTTGATAAAACTGGCTGAAAATACAAAGCTCAAGACCATGGATTTCATGGTGGCCCAGGAGGAGCAGGAATCACATCAAGCCCACCCATAAACATTGTTTCATTCATTCATCTTTCCCTTTCATATTGAGAACCTGATGCTGGTAGGCATGTTCATTGCTAGGAATACAGAAATGAAAAAGATATAGTCCATATGATTTTATTAAATGTGTCAATATGTATTCACAATGATGTATGCATTTCCAAATTTCTGGTGGAAGTTTGTATAAAATGAACATATTTACAGAAATTCAATTTACCCCAAAATGTCAGGAGCACAGCTCTTACATTAAACTGGGCACAATAGAAATAGGAAAAAAGTTCTACCACTAGGGGTTTTTTTTTTTCCCCCTTTTCTTTTCCTTCTTTCCCTCCCTCCCTTTCTATCTTCCTTGCTTCCTTCTTAGTAAAGGGTTTTTCATTGTCACAACTTGTTATATATTGATATATCCTTATACTTAGATAGTAGTCTCTTAAATGAAAGAATTTTTATGTTGGTAGCTATGTTGTCCACCCCTGAGAAACAATGTGGGATAGTTGGTGGCAAGATCAAGGTCAGGAATTAGAAGACCTCTAATTCTTGTTCTATCCAGATCTGCCCTAACTATTTAAAGCACTTTGAGCAAATAACTTATCTGTTGTTAAGTTATAACTTATCTAGATAATCCAGAGATTATCTAGTCAATTATCTATTGACTAGATAATCTCTGGAGCCCTGTTCAAATTTTTAACTTTATAATTCCATGAACTTTTACTCAAATGGCATTTGAGAAATATTTGAGACTGATTTGATGACATCTTAGGTATAGGTTCAAAGAATCAAACAAGTTACATCTTAGGCACCTAAGTTGTTTGCAGTTGTAGCAGGATGTATTAGTTTTATATACCAAGTTTTGATTAATATGAGTATTGGTGGAGGTCATGATTAATTGAAAATATGCAACTGATTTTGGGTCTATCATAAGTGATAGTTGCTATTTGTTTTCAGAGAGCCAAGCCTCCCAAAAGCCAAGGGGCTGAGCATCATCTGGAAAGAATCCGACGCAGCCATCAGAAGCATCATGCTATTTTGGCTTCCATTAAGTCAAACGAGCGGGATCGCTTGAAAGCTGAGTGGGACCAGCACAATGACCGCAAGTTTGTGGACAGTCTTGTGAAAGCAAGAGTCAAGGATGCCATGCAAGGGTTTATCATCAATACTGAAGAAAGACGAAATAAGTAAGGCTCATAAACCAGCTGATCCAGACTCTGAAACATTCCTAAAACCACAGGTTGAGATTGGTCAATCAAAAATCAAGTGAATTTTTACAGTAAGGATCATGGCTGAGCTATGCATATTCCTGCCAAACCAATAGCTATTGCTTGTTTCTATTTTCACTTGTGATAACCTATGTTTGATAGAAAGCAAAAGAACATATTGTTTCAGATTTCTTTATTTTTAATTAAAATCTGCTCATTTTGCTTTTTTGTTGAAGATATACATTGCATATCTCATCTGTATGTGATCAAATAAAATATGGCATAGATTAGTATCTTTATTGCTTTAAATGGCAACTAGTCTTATTTTATGGAATGCTGTAATGATCTTTCCTTCTTACAAAATTTATGACTGAACGTGTACTTCTGAAATCAGATTTAACAAAATAAAAATCAGTTAATGAAATGGTATATGTGGCATGATAGTTTTAATTTCCTTTTCTGTTGTCATTTTGTTTTGTGAACTTAGGTTACGTGAACTTTTAGCATCAGAAGAAAACGAATATTTTATTGAAATGCAATTGAAAGAAGAAACAATTGAGGAGAAAAAAGATAGAATGAGAGATAAAATCAGATTATTAAGAGAGAAGAAAGAAAAAGAGAGACAGGATTTTGTGGCTGGAAAGCTAGACCAGCAATTCAGGTAATGATATCAGAAAAACACACACACAGAATCTGGAGTTGGTATATTAAATTATTTAGGAAAGCTAACTACAGTAAAGTGTAGCCTTAAGAGGGTATACACAGTAGTTGTACCTTTAAGTCTTGTTAATTATATATACATCATTGCATAATGCAGATACTGAGGAGTTTTGTTTGTTTTGTGGTGAGAATGCATAAGATTCACTCTCTTAGCATATTCCAAGTATATAATACAGTATTATTGCCTGTAGTCACCATACTGTACATTAGATCCCCAAAACTTATTCATTCATCTTATAACTGAAAATTTGTATCCTTTGACCAATATGTTCAGATTTCTCCCACCCCATAACCCCTGAGAATCAGCATTCTACTCTCTGTTTCTATATGTTCAACTTTTTTTTCTTAGATTCCACATTTAGTGAGATCATACAGTACTTGTATTTCTCTGTCTGGCTTATTTCACTTAGTATTATATCCTCCAGGTTCATCCATGTTGTCTCAAATGGCAGAATTTTCTTTTTTATGCTGAATAATATTCCATTTCATACTTTCTTTATCCATTCATACATCAGTGGACACTTAGTTTGTTTCCATATGGTAGTTCTGGTTTAAATTTTTTGAGGGATCTCCATACTGTTTTTCAGAACGGCGATACCAATTTATATTCCCACCAACAGTGTACAAAGGTGTCGTTTTCTCTACATCCTTGCCGACACTTGTCACCTCTTGTCTTTTTTATAATAGCCATCTGAACAGGTGTGAGGTGATATCTCATTGTGGTTCTGATTTGCATTTTTCTGGTGATTAGTGATGTTTTCACATACTTGTTGGCTATTTGTATGTCTTCTTGGAAAAATGTCTGTTCAGGACTTTTGCTCATTTTTTTAGTCAGATTATTTGGTTTGTTTTTTTTTTTTTGCTATTGAGTTAAATGAGTTTCTTATGTATTTTAGATATTAACGCTTTAACAGATATATGGTTTGAAAAATATTCTCTTCCATTCTGTAGGTTGCCTTTTTATTTTGTTGATTGTTTCCATTGCTGCGCAGAAGCTTTTTAATTGGATATAGTCCTACTGGTTTATTTTTCATTTTGTTGCCTTTGCTTTTAGTGTCATATCTGAAAAATCATTGTCAAGACCAATGTCAAGGAGCTTTTTCTCTGTGTTTTCTTCTATGTGTTTTACAGTTTCAGGTCTTATGTTTAAATTTTTAATCCATTTTGAGTTATTTTTTTTTTTTTTTTTTGCCATATGCAAGCCTCTCACTGTTGTGGCCTCTCCTGTTGCAGAGCACAGGCTCCAGACGCGCAGGCTCAGCAGCCATGGCTCACGGGCCTAGCTGCTCCGCGGCATGTGGGATCTTCCTGGACAGGGGCACGAACCTGTGTCCCCTGCATCGGCAGGCAGACTCTCAACCACTGTGCCACCAGGGAAGCCCTTGAGTTAATTTTTTTGAATGGTGTATATAGGGATGCAATTTCATTCTTTTGCATGTAGATATCCAGTTTTACCAAGAGACTGTTTAATGAAGAGACTATCCTTTCCTCATTGTGTGTTCTTGGTCTCCTTGTAAAAGATTGGTTGACCATATATGCCTGGATTTATTTCTGGGCCCTCTATTCTGTTCCACTGGTCTATGCAACTGTATTTATGCAGCTACCATACTGTTTTGATTATGATAGCTTTGTAATATAGATGGAAATCAAGTATGTGATGCTTCCAGCTTTGTTCTTCTTTCTCAAGATTGCTTTGGCTATTCATGGTCTTTTGTAATTCAGTTGGAATTTGGGGATTTTTCTTTTTCTGTTTCTGTGAAAATGCCATTCAAATTTGGATAAGGATGGCATTGAACCAGTAGATCACTTTGCGTAGTATGGACATTTTTAAAAATTAATTAATTAAATTTTGTTTATTTATTTTTGGCTGTGTTGGGTCTTCGTTGCTGCATGCAGGCTTTCTCTAGTTGCGGCGAGCGGGGGCTACTCTTCATTGTGGTGCACAGGCTTCTCATTGTGGTGGCTTCTCTTTTGTGGAGCACAGGCTCTAGGGTGGACAGGCTTCAGTAATTGTGGCTCATGGGCTTAGTTGCTCCACGGCATGTGGGATCTTCCCAGACCAGGGCTCGAGCCCGTGTCTCCTGCATTGGCAGGCGGATTCTTAACCACTGCGCCACCAGGGAAGCCCCAGTGTGGACATTTTAAAAATATTAATTCTTCCAACCCAAGGACAAAGGATATCTTTCCATTTATTTGAGTCTTCAGTTTCTTTCATCAGTGTCTCATAATTTTCAGTGTACAGATCTTTAACCTCCTTGGTTAAATGTATTCTTTCGTATTTTATTGCTTTTGAAGCTGTTGCAAAAGGGATTGTTTTCTTAATTTCTCTTTCAGATAGTTCATTATTAGTGTAAAAAATGCAACTGATTTTGTTTGTTGATTTCAAATCCTATAGCTTTACTGAATTCATTGATTAGTTCTAACAGTTTTTGATGGAGTCTTCAGGGTTTTCTATATGCAAGATCATGTCATCTGCAAACAGATAATTTTACTTTTTCCTTTTCATTTTGGATGTCTTTTATTTCTTTTTCTTGCCTAATTGCTCTGGCTAGGATTTCCAGTACTATGTTGAATACAAGTGGCAAGAGTGGGCACCCTTGTCTTATCCCTGATTTTAGAGGAAAAGCCTTCAGTTTTCTAGTTTTTAGCATGATGTTAGCTGTGCACTTGTTATATATGGCCTTTATTGTGTTGAGCTACATTCCTTCTATACGTAATTTGTTGAGAGTTTTTTTTTATCGTGAATTTGTCAAACCTTTTTCTGTATTAAGATGATCATATACTTTTTATCCTACATTCTGTTAATGTGGTATATCACATTTATTGATTTGCACATGTTGAACCATCCTTGCATCCCAAGGATAAATTCCACTTGATCATGGTATCTGCTTCTTTTAATGTGCTGTTAAATTTGCCATGCTAGTATTATATTGAGGATTTTTGCATCTGTGTTATTCAGGGATATTGGAAGCGTTTTCTCTTTTTCAATTTTTTTGGAGGATTTGAGAAAGATGGGTATTAATTCTTCTTTAAATATTTGGTAGAACTCACCAGTGAAAGCATTTGGTCCTGGACTTTTCTTTATTGGTAGATTTTTTTTTTTTTTTTTTTTGCAGTATGCGGGCCTCTCACCTCTTTGGCCTCCCCTGCCGCGGAGCACAGGCTCCAGACATGCAGGCTCAGCGGCCATGGCTCACGGGCCCAGCTGCTCCACAGCATGTGGGATCCTCCTGGACCGGGGCATGAACCCACGTCCCCTGCATTGGCAGGCGGACTCCCAACCACTGCACCACCAGGGAAGCCCTATTGGTAGATTTTTGATTACTGGTTCAATCTCTTTACTCATTATTGGTCTTTTCAGATTTTCTATTTTGTCATGATTCAGCCTTGGTAGTTTATATGTGTCTAGGAATTTATCCATTTTTTAGATTATCTAATTTGTTTGCATATAATTGTTCATAATAGTCTCTCATGATCCCTTGTATTACTGCAGTATCGGTTGTAATGTTTCCTCTTTCATTTCTGATTTTATTTAGTCAAATCTTCTCTCTTTTTTCCTTAGCTAGTCCAGCTAAAGGTTGTCAATTTTGTTTATCTTTTCAAAAAACCAGCTTTACTTTCATTGATATGTTTTATCATTTTTCTAGTCTCTACTTCATTTATTTCTGCCCTGATCTTTGTTATTTTCTTCCTTCTGCTTACTTTGGGCTTAGTTTGTTCTTTTTATAGTTCCTTGAGGTTTAAAGTCAGGTTGTTTATTTGAGATCTTTCTTTTCTCTTAATATAGGTGTTTATTGCTATAAACTTCCCTCTTAAAGCTGCTTTTGTTGCATCCCATAAGTTTGGGTATGTTGTATTTCTGTTTTCATTTAAGATATTTTTTGATTTCCTTTTCATTTCTTCTTTGACCCATTGGTTATTCAGAAGTGTGTTGTTTAATTTCCACAGATTTGTTAATTTTCCAGCTTTCTTCTGGTGTTTGGTTTCTAGTTTTATGCCATTGTGGTCCGAAAAGATACTTATATGATTTTAATCTTTTTAAATCTGTTAAGACTTTTTTGTGACCTAGCATGTGATCTATCCTGGAGAATGTTCCATGTGTACTTGAGAAGAATGTGTATTCTGCTGCTATTAGATGGAATGTTCTGTGTATGTCTGTTAGGTGCATTTGATCTAAAGTGTGGTTCAATCCAGTGTTTCCTTACTGATTTTCTGTCTGGATGATGTATGCACTGTTGAAAGTGGAGTATTGAAGTTCCCTACTATTACTGCACTGCTGTCTGTTTCTACTTTGATATCTGTTAATATTTGCTTAACATATTTGAGTGCTCTCCTGTTGGGTGCATATATAGCTGACCCCTCGAACAACACAGATATGAGCTCTGCAGGTCCACTTAAATGTGGTTTTTTCAATAAATGCAGTACTACATGATCCGGGATTAGTTGAATTTGCAGATGTGGAACCAGGGATGTGGAGGGTTGACTACAGGACTTGAGCATCTGTGGGTTTTGGTATCTGTAGCAGGTCCTCAAACAAATCCCCTGCACATACCAAGGGATGAATCTATATTTATAATTGTTATATCCTTTTGATGAATTGACCCTTTTATCATTATATAATGACTTTCTCTCTTATTACAGCTTTTGAGTTAAAGTGTATTTTATCTAACATAAGTGTAGCTACCTCTGCTCTTTTGCTTTCTACTTGCATGAAATATCTTTTCCCATCCCTTCACTTTAAAGATATGTGTATCCTTAAAGCTGAAGCAAGTCTCTTGTAAGCAACAAATTGTTGGATCTTGTTTTTTATACATTCAGACACACTGACTAGATAATTTCAAATTACCTGTCTTTGAGTTCTCAGACTTTTTTCCTCTGTTTTGTTTGTTCACGCCTGATGTTGATGCTGTCTCTTGGATTTTTCATTTCATTCATTGTATT